TCTATCTATCTATCTATCTATCTATCTATCTATCTATCTATCTATCTATCTATCTCTCTCTCTCTCTCTATGTCTCTCTTTCTCTTCCTCCCTCTTTCCTGTCCCCCATTTTCTTTCTCCGTCTGTCAGAACTTCTCTTTTCATGTACGTTTGATGTAATACTCATTTTTTTGTACATATACATGTACATGTGTTTTCCTGTCGATAAATCCTATGATGTTAGCTTTTGCCACGTCTTTTTTAAAATCCCAGCTTACTAATCTACTCCATTCAAGACCAATGCAGAGAACTGTGCAAATCACTGACATGTGGACCTATGCATCTATATACATTAAAACTGCATCTTCATAATATTATAATTCTCTTATGTAAATATTTATTTGTTTTTTGTTTGTTTGTTTCGTTCTCTTTTAATTTTCTTCCCTTGATGTACTATTGGGGTCTTTTGATGCAGTCGTTTTAGAATTTTAAGGGAAGACAGGAGGAGACTATAAACATATTATTCAATTTCTGGGGATTCGCATTCTGTCTGCCTCTGAGTGACAAGCTGCCTTCTATACCATTTCGACTCTGGGGCACATTGCTCTGGTCTTTAGGTTGGTCCTGTTGGACCGAATACTTGACAGATCACTGGCATACGGAAAATAAAAGTCTACACACTTAACGAGAGTGCTGGTTGTTGTTGCTGTTGTTGTTTTTCAGTCTCGGGATTTCAACTGGTTTCACTTGTCCCTTCCACACAGAAGCACACCATTTTAAAAGGCATTTTCGGTCTAAAAGGCCACAAGATAGTTCGTAAATCCGACAGTGGTCTGAAAGTCAATCCTATGGTCTGACACGTAAGACCAGGCCCATCCTGATAATGTCAACCGCAAGCTGGCTGTTTTTCAGCGCAAAGGATTTGTGACAGAGACAGGGTGGGTGGGAGGAATGGGGAGGGGGAATCACAACCAGATACTCCATGATCAATGGGTTAGGACGACTACCCATAGCCTATGGTACTGGTAGACTCTCGAGGGTTGTTTTTTTTTCACTACGAGAACGGCGACGTTTGAGGCTCTAGATCAGTGCTTGTCGGTCTTTTTTTAAGCCAATGCCCATTTTTGCCACCTTTAAGAGGCTAAAATTTCCCTTTTCATACCACCCGCCTACGTGTATTTCCAAGCGGGGCATTACATAAAACATGTCACTTCCAGGGTGATCCTCACCGCCCACTAAAATTACCCAAGTGGGCGATATCGCTCAGGCCGACAAGCACAGCTTCAGATCGTGAAAACATAAATAAATGCTTATTAATATATCGACCCAAGTCAATTACATCTTTGCGAACTCCCTTTGAAACGTTAAATAGTTTGGGGATTTTTGTGTGGGTCTTTTTGTTTTGTTTGTTTGCTAGTTTAGTTGGTTGAGGGGTTGCTGCTTGTGTTTTTTTAATCTATTGTTTATGACACATCTGGTTAGCTTAGTGCTATCTTGTATCAACTCTATTATTCTGGTTTTGACTTAAGTCACTCTGAAAACATTGAATTCCCTTAGCGAAAACGGAAGATAGTTAAAAATGAAATTGAAATTCCATGGGACACAAGAACCAACTGTAATACGTTTGGACCCGAAGGAAAGATGTTTAGACAGCTTGATCGCTGTGACGAAAAAAAAATCCTAAGATTTGGATGATACAGACATTTAATAATTATACTTTTCTTTGTCTAAATAATCTTTTTATTATATTCATGTTTCTGTTTGTTTCCAGCTTTATACTTGTTTACATCTTTTAATTAGAAGGTGCGGTGACGAAGCGGTTAGTGCGCTCGTCTCGGAAGCGGAAAATCCGGGTTTGAGCCTCGATTCGGACACGGATTGTTTCGCCCCATCCTACCCACCCAGCTGTGATGTGTAGGTGACTTCGAGTTAGGGAACTAAAGGCAGCGTGAAAAGGAACTGGCCACCCTACCACAACAAGCCGAAGGCCCAGGAAGTTGTCTCACTAACAAGTTAACTTTATTTTATTTTTATTTTTTTTAAATTAATTTTTTTTTTGGGGGGGGGGGGGATGTACATGTTGATTATTTGAATATAACCAACTGATATCATTCTTTTCTTTCTTTCTTCTTTTGCAGGATGAGGTCAATCAAGTGATGAAAACAAATGTTTGGTTGCAAATTGTGAGTGTCATTTACACATCGGCGTATCAATCTATCTATCTATCTATCTATCTATCTATCTATCTATCTATCTATCTATCTATCTGTCTGTCTGTCTGTCTGTCTGTCTGTCTGTCTGTCTGTCTGTCTGTCTATCCGGTGTCACTTTTACTCATATCTAAAATGCCTTCGTTTTGATTATTCTGAGCGAATGTGATACTATGGTTGTGTTTTTAGTCATTCTATCAAAGAACATGACTCTTAATCCACAAGGGGAATAGATCTTAATGATACACCAGTCCTCTTTCACGACATGGCCCGCCGTCTCCATGCTAGCACAGGGGAATACGATCAAAACAGCTTGCTTAATGAACGCTCTAAATTGTGGCACCATTAGAATGAACAAATTAAATACAAAATGTGGATAAATTCACAAATCTATGCTTGGTCGTTTTCTTGCCTCCAAACACTCGACCCAGACACTAAAATCATAATCAAGAAAAGCACATAATTTATTGGTACGAGTCAGTTTGAGCATTCCATTAAACAATTTCCCAGATCTTATACAAACAATCAGGGTTTCCAATCTCTGTGGGTGGCCACGTTTAGGTCGCCTTGACAACCTTCGCTATAGATGCTTTAAAGGTTTTGGAAAAATGACAGGTCGACATTACTGTTTACCCATTAAATTCTTCCACGGTGGTGTACAGTTTAAGAAAATTGAATGCCTTTTTAAAGAAATCGTTGGTAAATATGAAGTAGAATTGAGCATGACCAAATGCGTACGTTTCGCAGCAGATAGGAGGACTAATACACTGTTTAATAAATAGCACGGATATATAGGACCCTCGAAGTACGTGTAACCAGAGTTAAAAATGCAAGAAATAGGAGAAGCATAATGCCAGCTTTTATGATAGCTCAAAAAAAGAATCTAACAACTCGTTACTCGTCATTTGTTTTTTCGTTTTACATTTAAGCTGTTTTGTTTTTCGTCTTGCTTTGTTTTGTTTTGTTGGTTGGTTGTTGTTGTTGGGGGGTTGTTGTTGTTGTTGTTGTTTTTTTTTTTTGGGGGGGGGGGTTGTGTGTGTGTGTTTGTTTGTGTTTTGTTGTTTTTTTTTTTTTTTTTTTTTTGTGTGTTTATGTGTGCGTGTTTGTGTGTGTGTGTTTGTTTGTGTTTTGTTGTTTTATTCATTTTATTTTATTTTTATTTTTTTGGGGGAGGGAGGTATATTTTGATGCAAAGACCCACCCATAGGTTGTATGAAAAAGAATTGATGCATTTTATCAAATCAGTTTGTCAAAAAAGGAAAGATCTTTTCAACTTTGACATTTTCACGAATTGCCCTTCCCGGCCACCACCCACACTTCCCCACTGCTAAGTAAATAGATAACGTTGGGTGTAAAGGATAGTATTTACTCAGTATACATGAATGTATATATATAGAAACACAGAGGAGGAAAGCAAACTCGTCAAAAGTGTGAGCTCCCTGAATATATAAATCACTTATCCATTGAAACACTCCATCTGCCGCCCGTATCTCTCTCATCCCTCACCGTTTACCTGTTTATTCATCTATTATATATCTGTCTTTTAATCAGTCAGTCCAATCATCCACCTATTAATTTAAGCCATTCATCTGCCGGTAGTTCCATCTTTTATTCATACCTTCTTTCACCCGCCTGTCTTTCTTCTTGCTATCTGTCTATCTGTCTATCTATCTATCTATCTATCTATCTATCTATCTATCTATCTATCTATCTATCTATCTATCTATCTATCTATCTATCGTGTCATAGTATGAGTTCTCTTTACGTTTACTGTATTCTCATCCCGTTCACTTATTACACTCATACCATGCTACTCCCCCCCTCCCCCTCCCCCCTCCTCCCGGCAAGATTGGCTTAACACAAAATCAGCAGCTGGGTCATGTTTTCTTTGAGCTTTGCGCCTTGAGGCACAGTGACTCCTCTGCTGTACCGTTTGTTTATTCGTCTTTGCTTGACCAGGCAGGTACCTCTGAATGATCCGAGAAAGCTGTCAAGTGTTTGTTCTAGCGAGAGTTATCACAGTATCAGTCTAAACGAATAGTTTTGTGGGAAATTGTTCAGATTGGAACACACCAAAGGCAGCGTTAAATATTGATAAAATTGCTATACTTTGAACGGGCCGTTACGCATTAAACTTGTCGATGTATAAGCCGTTGAAATTAAATGAAGAGAGAAACACGTACACCAAATAGGGAGAAAAGTCAGTTCTCTAATATTGAAAAAAAAACCCAGAATGTTTTTACATCTTTCTTCCATTGACACTTCGCCCTGTTAGAATACCAATGATCATGACCCTCAAAAGGGATGCATATACTTGGCTAGAATTATAAAGTTCTGTTTTCCCTTTTTTTGCCGTTTTTAATTACTAAGACTATGAGGCTAGAAACCAATAGATGTTCTATCTGTTCTATCAAAATTGTAAGATTATTATGAGTCGTTATCAAGATATTTAAAGAATTGAATTCGCTTCGCATAAGCTTGAACTGTTGTGAAACTTAAAATCTTTGACGCCAAATTTCTCAAAATTAGATACTGAGCAGATAGACTGTGTAATTCTAGGGTAGCCTCTTATCTCAAGAACGCCTCCAACGGTTACGCTCTACATGGATGTCAATTTCCAACAGGGCCGAGCCCAGTCGTTCATTTTTGCCTTATTTCGAAGTTTGTATGGCATACTCTGTTTTGTTTGTCTCTTTGTCATATCCTTTTGCGTGGTATACGTACAGCTCATGATTAGTGTTTTGAATATTACGTTTCCAGTCAAATGGAAAACAATAGGCCTATCAAAGTCCTCGATGTGAACACTGTTCCTTCCAAGAACTGATCGGGGGATCAATAGGGAAATATTATTGTCTTGTCACACTGGGGAAAAGTCGGACGTCACTTTCATCCCTTGCTTTTTATGTATAAAAAAATTCTCACATTAAGCGTAAGGCACAGAGAATTGTATGTGTGTGTCGAGGGTGCGGGAAAAAGACAAGGCAAAAAAAAAAGGGGGGGGGGGGGTTCACAGTGATTGATAGGTCGTTGTCATTAACTTCTCTGTCTTCAACAAATAGCAAACAAGCCGTTCAATCCACACCTGCTCTCTTTTAAGCATCCTGGTCTTTTTTATACATTGGTTGCTACAGTTTAAGAGATACTAATCGATCCGTTTTAAAATATATGTAAACACTATAATGTTATAACAACTCACACATATATAAGTATACATGAAGGCATCAAGCTGAGAAGGGGAGCAGTAACAGAAACAAAATAATGGACAGTTGCCTTTTTATGAGATCATAACATACACAAGGACGAAACTAAAAAACTTGACTTTTTCCAATATCATAGTCTTTATACATAAAAATGTGTTTGCGTGTTTGTTTAATGAATGTTATTGTATATTTGTATGTTAGTATGTATATATAGATATTATATATATAAATATATATATATATATATATATATATATATATGTAATAAATGTGTGTATAATATATATATATATATATATATATATATAATACGTATTTGTATATATATAGAGAGAGAGATAGATAGATAGATCAATATTGATAGATCAGTAGATAGATCGATAGATAGATAAATAGATAGATAGATAGATAGATAGATAGATAGATAGATAGATAGATAGATAGATAGATAGATAGATAGATAGATAGATAGATAGATAGATAGATAGATAGATAGATGCGTGCGTGTAACTCTCTTCTTTTTTATTTCTAGAAAGAGAAAGGTGGCTCTTCTGAAAGGGCATCAAACTCTAGATACTGAAACCGTCAACTCAGTACATATGTATCACTGTTGCGCTTACAAGACCATCACTCGATGGATGGGCGTTTCTTTTTCGCCCTACTATCTCTGTGACGTGAAAAGAATTATTGACTTTTGTTTTTGTCTAAATTATCACATTCAGGTGGCAGTCTGGAAGCAAAAAGAGATAAAACTGTAGCCCATATTATTACTCTCTTGCTTGTGCCCTCGGCAGAATCCGAAATAGGAAATCTTCTCATAAAACGGGTGATTTCATCCAATAAGGGCCAACACTCTTTTTAAAGGGGCGAAAGGCGGGCATTTCCTCTATGAAACGTGAGTTGTGGAGGCAGCAGCGTTGGGAGGAATGAGTGGGAATTTTAAGGTTCGCCTTTCCACAAAATGGACCGCGCGGGGGAAAAGGGATATGGGAGGAGGGGGAGGGTTTTAAGGTGTCAGATGAGTGTTGTTCTGTTTGGTTACAGTAAAATGGCTCTAATGCGAAAGTGGGGCTACAGTTTTTTAAATGGCTTTAGATTCATTGTTTTGTTCTTGAATAATTTTTTTTTAAAAGAAGAAGGTGTGTGCAGACAAAGAAATTGTGACGTTTTGGTCGATATTTTCGAGGTTCTCATGGTTCAATGACGGTTAAAATGCAGGTGCTCCCACCTACACATTTACTAACTATCAAAGTGAATATTCACTCAAAGTTAAAGTTCAGATCCTCATACTGATTTGACTCTTATGAATGAGGGGTTTTTTTTAGTTCTGTGTGTGCGTAAAGCTGAAATGCCGTAGTACAAACAAAACTGACAGTCCAACACGACAGTTTTTTTCTTGAGAATGACATCTGGCGCTGCCCACACTTTCTTATCTTGTCATTTTAAAGACCTCCGTGTCCCACTTTCGTTTTCTTTTTCTTTATTTCACAGTACTGGAAAGATTATCAGCTTGGATGGGATCCTTCTAAGTATGGAAATATTGATTCAATTCGTATCCGCCCGGAAAAGGTGTGGGTTCCGGACTTTGTATTATTCAACAAGTAAGTGTTTAGGTAGCAGACTGTTTCAATAATCGTCTCCTCCCTCTGTCTTTTCCTTGCTGTGACCAAAACATATGTAGGAACAACGTTTCATTTATTGCATTATTGTTGTAATCCTCCTCATCATCATCCTCCTCATCATCATCATCATCATCATCATCATCATCATCATCATCATCATCATCATCATCATCATCATCATCATTATCATTATCATCACCATCATTATCATCATCATCATCATCATCATCATCATCATCATCATCATCATCATCATCATCATCATCATCATCATCATCATCATCATCATCATCATCATCAGTATTGTTATTATGTCTTTGTACTTTAGTAGTAGTAGTAGTAGTAGTAGTAGTAGTAGTAGTAGTAGTAGTAGTAGTAGTGCTAGTGGCAGTGGTAGTAGTAGTAGTAGTAGTAGTAGTAGTAGTAGTAGTAGTAGTAGTAGTAGTAGTAGTAGTAGTAGTAGTAGTAGTAGTAGTAGTAGTAGTAGTAGTAGTAGTTGTTGTTGTTGTAGTAGTAGAAGTAGTATTGTTTTTCATTATTATTATTATTATTATCATTATTTTATAATCATTATTATTGTCATTATTATTATTATTTGATATTGTTAGTAGTAGTAGTAGTTGTAGTAGTAGTAGTAGTAGTAGTAGTAGTAGTAGTAGTAGTAGTAGTAGTAGTAGTAGTAGTAGTAGTAGTAGCAGTATATTGTTGTTATTTCTGTTATCATAATACCATTATCATCATCCACATCATCATCATCATCATCATCATCATCATCATCATCATCATCATCATCATCATCATCATCATCATCAGCATGGCCTTTTTCACCCTGGATCAGGATATAGGTCCAGAACAAACACTTTCCACTTTTCCCTATCCTGGGCAAGACACTTGATGTTACTTTATGTCTTACCACTTTTCAGTACATCAATTTCCGTGACTCTTCTCTAGGTTCCACGTGGTCTTCCCCGTGATCTTTTGCCCTGTGGATTCCAGTCTAACACTTTCCTTGTTATGCAGCTGCTTGACTTCCCGAGAGTGTGTCCAATCCATCGCCAACGCCTTCTTCCCACCTCATCTCTGACTGAGCTCTGTCTCGTTCTTCTTAATACTTTCTCGTTGGTGATCCTATCTGTCCATCTGATCCTCTATAGCTTCCTGAGACACTTGTTCAAGAAAACCAGGATCGTCTTTATTGTCATTATCAGTATAACCATTATGGTTATCATTATTGTAACACATGGTGATATAACATTGCTATTATTATTATTATTATTATTATCATTATTATTATTATTATTATTATTATTATTATTATTATTATTATTATTATTATTATTATTATTATTATTATTGTTATTATTATTATCGTTATTGTTATCATTATTAATCATCATTGTTCTTCTACTTATTGTTGTTTTGCAGACGTGTTGTTATAGTTGTTATTGTTATTATTGTTACTGTTATCATTGTTATTATTTTCATCATTATTGTGTTATTATTTCTATTATAAAGATTAATATCATATATTACCATAGACATTACAACGATTGCTATTGTTGCTGCTATAGTCGTCTTTATCACCACACTGGCTTCATGCTATAAATGCTATCTATTATGATTCTCCCATGTGACCATGTCTCACGTTCTTCCAGTGCTGACGGCAACTATGAAGTGACGTACAAGTCCAACTGCGTGCTGTACAGCAGCTCAGACATCAACTGGATCCCTCCGGCCATCTACCAGAGCTCATGCTCCATCGACGTGGAATACTTCCCATTTGATCAACAGATCTGTGAGATGAAGTTTGGTTCCTGGACGCATAAAGGGGACGCCCTCAAATACAGCTTCTACCTCAACATGGATAAGTTAGATCTCGTGGACTATTTGAAAAGTGGCAGTTGGGACATTATTGACTGCCCAGGGAAAATTGTGACAATCAAAGACGAAGTCACCGGTGAGGAGAAAGATCAGATAATATTTAAGTTTGTGCTGAGGAGGAAAACATTGTTCTACACGGTGAACCTTATCATTCCCTGCGTGCTCATTTCTTTTGTAAGCATCTGTGTGTTTGCGCTGCCCGCGGACGCCGGTGAGAAGATCACACTCTGTATTTCCGTCCTCCTAGCCTTGGTCGTGTTCTTGTTGCTGGTTTCCAAAATCCTGCCGCCGTCGCTCACCATCCCGCTCATCGCCAAGTACTTACTCTTCACATTCATCATGAACCTCATCGCCATTTTATCAACAGTGGTGATCATCAACCGGAATTATCGGACTCCGCGAACTCACCAGATGCCTAACTGGGTTCGTGTGATCTTCTTGCGGGAACTCCCGAAATATCTCTTTATGAAGCGTCCAGACCACGATGATAGATGGGAGGGGAAGCCAAACACCCCGCCGCCATCTTTCCCGTCCACTCCCGAGACGAGAAGAGTTAACATCAGTAGAAACAACGATCTCCTGGAGCTCACGGAAGTCCACCACCCACACTGTAAGCTCAACACCGGCGGCGGGTCCTCATCTCATAACCACAAAGAGACGAGGGCAGGTTACAGCGGAGAGTCCACAATGCACGGCTATGGTAGTCAGCCCACAGGGTACCCCAATCGACCGCCTCCTCCGCTGCCCCAGGACAGCACGGACTCGACTCAGGTACAGATGACGCCAGAGCTATTCCAGACGATAGAGGCTGTCAAGTTTATCTACAACCACCTCAAAAACGAGGAGGAGTACGAAAATGTGAGTATTGTCTTGTTTTTGGTGTCGCTGACAACTCAGCTTAAACCGACGTCTGTGGTGTAGCGATTAGACGTTTTGCCGTAGGATGCAGAAGATTCGAGTTTGATTCTGGAGTGAGGATAATTTTTAAAGAGTGTCTAGACGAATGTTATATCCCTTTTAGTCTAAGTTGGCCCTAACAGGCAAAGTCAAAGCCTGCCTCCTAAGAGACCTACATTGTGTTGATCAGGGTATAAAAAGACCTGTATTAAAACAGCTATTCGCAATGCGGTTCATCTTTAAGTCGCGCCCTTTGGGTCCCAACTTTAAAACCGAGCATTTGTCATGAATTTAGTCTCTTACGGGTTTTCTAAAGATTTTGTCTTGAAATTCGCATAATGCAGCAAGAAGGTTCCTTTTTAACTTAAGCTGGCTTTTTTTTAAACGAACTGTCCAGCAAATTTTGATTAGAAAAGACGTCACTGGTGACATCGTCTGGGAGAATATGTCTGGGAAAGATGTATCATAATATTTCCAGTCGCACTTAGATTACACCGTCAAACTTCTGTGTAAGTCAAGTCCATAACCGACTACACTATTATAGTGGCTGGCACTCTAACTCCTAGTGCTAAAACACACCAATAAAAATGAAACGAACAGACAAGACCATAGACGCGCTTCAGCCAAAGACACCAAGATTGTAAAATTGTCTAGACTTCCAGTACTGAGAAAAAGAACCAGAAAAATCCACCTACGAACAGAGACCTCTATAAAAGATATTTTTGCCTTTCGTAGACTTATCTGTTTAGACAGTTTTGGCACCCCCTCCCTTTCTATCGTTTGAAGCAGACTTTTATTATGATGTACATTTCAACTGAATAAAACAGGGGGCTCTCGTGGCCTAGAGGCAAAGGCGTTGGCCTCTCATTCAAAGGTCCCCGCGTTCGAATCCGGGTGGCGACCGACTTTTCTTCTCTAAAATTGTCTCCTTTCCCCTCATTTCCTTATCTCTAGCAATGTTCTGTCGTCTGCTTTTGTATCCTCTATCTGCCCCCACCCCCTTACCTTCTTTACCCCCTCCTTAGGGATCCTGGCTCTTTCTGCAGCCTTTCTACTGCTACTCCTTGGCTCCTTCTTACTGCTGTCTTTCCGCTACACCCCTGATCGTCTGGTAGGAAAGATCTACACCTAGCCTTCTCGGACAAGGGCGAAAAATCTCGGAGGGCTCGTGTGCAAGTTGCGCACGTTAAAGATCCCTTGGTGGTTTAAAATCGGCCGCCACCCGGGCAAAATTCAAAATTTCCTTCCAACTGAAAATACTAGGTGTGTCCCCCGCGCCCATATGACCTTATGCAGTTGCGAGCGCCGTAAAACACTTACCAAAAAAAAACCCTGAATAAAACGTCACACGCCTGCAACAATGAAAGTGTGCACATCAAAAGTAATCCTTGTGCAGGATCCCCAACACTTGGAAAAAGAGGCTCGGATAACATGACATTTTCAAAATGTCAACAACCGTTGGCTTTAAGTTATGATTCCTTTCTTCCTCAATTATCACGCTTGTTCAGTTGGGATACGAGGTCTTCTGTTTAAAGTTATCTTTTTTTTTCTTTAAAAAAAATTATTTTGGTTGTTTCTTTGTTGTTGTTGATGGTGTTGTTTAGTATTTTCCCCCTTATTTATTGTGTGTGTGTTGGGGGGTGTGATGGTAAGGGGGTGGGTGATGGTAAGGGGGGGGGATTCGGAATAGAGGCTCTTTGTCAAAGAAAAAAAGTTATCATTTGGACAGGGAAATAGTTCTTTTTCTTTAAGCGGTGCAGGCTTAACCCCCCCCCCCCCCCTTCCAATCCTTTCATGGTGTTTTACATTATTATTTAATGTTCCTGTTTGTTCTCACAGATTCTAGAAGACTGGAAATACGTAGCGCGAGTCTTGGATCGTCTGCTCCTCATCATCTTCCTTCTAGTCACTCTCTCTGGCACGGCAGGAATCCTCCTCAACGCCCCTCACATTCTAGAATACGTGGACCAAGACAAAATCATCGATGAACTGCTGGCCTACATTGAGGAAGCAAAGACGAGGGCTGTGGCAGCCTAACTAATACATTTTAAAAATCCGGTCGTGAATTCTATGGACATACAACAGACACACGATTTCAGGACTTGTACTCATACAGCAGATCATGCTCAGAAGACAATAATTTGTTGCTTCCACGTGAAGATTAAACGAAATCTTACATCAGTATTCTTTTTCTTACAAAAAAAAATCAAAACGTGTTTAATTTTTTTCAAAATTTTCCTTACAAATGTTTCTATTGTAACTGAAATGTCACTTATTAGTGCTTTTGTGAAGATTAAAGTGGTGCATTGGATTAAATCCGTGGCTACGGTAAGGATTAGTAGCGAAAGAAGAAGGGTGGCGACATTCCCCCTTACAACCAGAACGCGTTTACCTTGTCTGGGCATTTATGGTGAAATCCTATAGAGCATTATCCTACATATTGTGATCCTTTGCCCTGTGCTTAGCTTGTGACGCTCAAAGAGGAGAAAAGAAATCTTCTTCTTCCTTACACAAAAAAATGGTTAGCCTCTTCAAACCGTGGGGAGATACTGGTCTTCTGACTAAAAGACGTGGGTTCTAACCCCTTCACGAAACGAATAGTCTTGTAAAACGTTTCACAGCAGTTATACCAGAGGTAGTCTTTAATTCGGAAGTCACGTTATGAACCTTAGGTACGATAACAATGGTTGTGAAGTTGAGAATCAAAATAAAAAAGCAGATTTCCTTTAGATGAGCAACCTCTCTTGTGTGTCCTTGAGCAAGAAGCGCTTACCCTTTGGGAGTTACTCAGCACGGCATTCTCAGAAGAAGAAAAAAGTGTTGGAATTATCTGTGTATTGTTTTCCTATGTAACAAAATGTACATTATGTTTTTTATCAGAGTAAGCACTGTGACAATGATTGTATATCGAAACTGACTACGACTGTAATTTTGTTATTGTCACAAAATTCGTTGAAGTTAGCATACTTTCAAGGATGCATTCATGATAACATTGATGTTGTTGTTGTTACTGTTTTCGACAAGTGGGTCTGTTAGCAACATTTCTTTAGCTTTATCACTTGAATCCACCTTTCAGTAATCTTGAGGTGATTTAAAACTCCAGAAGAGGTTGATGCTTTCTTCAGGTGAGGTTGGATGTAAATGCGCGGATGGTTGAGTGTGCATATGATACGACTTGTCTAGATCGAAAGTTTGGCCATGTCATTTGTAAACCTCGAAACTTGCAAGGAGCTATTTATACACGCATGCTGAACCTTCTCCTTCGAAGAAAATTGCACTCTAGAGTGCAGTCAAAAATTCGTGTCTCAACTTTGTGTCAAATATTTCCTCAACTATTGAGCATAAAGTCTCCAGCTTTTGCACAATGACTTGTATCAATTTCTCTTAACAGGTTTATAATTTATGTAAACGCCAGTTAGCCTATTTCTAAAAAATTCTCCATTAAATACTAATTATTTAAAATATCTGTGAATGGTTTCTACAGATTCTGAAAGGTATATAGCTGAGACAATATCGCATTTAAAAGCAAGTGCATCACGTTTTTCTCATCGTGGTATTATGCTTATTGAACGCACGTTTTGTGAACCTTTAAAGCAAAAGTAAACGCTTACTATAAAATTGAGTTCTTGTAACAAGTCTTGCCACTAAAAGGTGTAAATGGTGAGCTGTATCTTTGGTCATGTGCTTATGCAAATTATGTGGGAGAAGCGGGAAGTGCTTTGAACAATCCCATTTTCCGCCTAACAGAGATTTACAGAATTTTGTATACATTACGAGGAAAAGTTTTTAATCTAGCCTAAATTGTTGTGGGGAAATATGATTAAGTTAAAGCAAATTGATACACACTTCTGTGCAAAGTATAGGTGATATTGATTCACCCATTAAAGAGATATTTGAGGAAAAGTTGCGCCACGAATTTTTGACTGCACAATAGGCGTAGTACGCTCCTGTCAACAAATACTGGCATTGACTTATCAATGACTCATTTCTAAGGCTGTGCTTAGACCTTACTGTGTTAAAACTTACGTTTTAACTTACTGTGTTGGAACGCAAATCTGTTCCTTTTTAGCTTCAGTTGAATATTTATAGATGCGTATTTAATTTTCCTTAAAAAACGTGAGACCATTATGAATACTGTGTAAAAGGTTTTGAAGATATCAACTTTGTTCTGCTCTACACCTCAGTAATGGAGGAATATCCATTTTATGAGGAATACGGCCAATTGAAGTATTCATAGAGAATGCTGTTGGCCATCTATTCTGGGGAGCAAAGCCCGGTCTGTTTTCTTTGTTTTCTTTTTTCTTTTACAGATAAGTTTTGGTTGGTGTTTTCCTTGATGACGAGCAGATTTTTATAGACACATAATGTTTTATTTCATATTTCCGCATCAACTCAAATCATTAGGCGTATTTCTCATATTGGATCTCTTGTTCATAAATCTACTCATTATCAATTCACCCTCCCCCCTCTCTCTGCGCGGTAAAATATAAAACAACAACAAAACAACCCCAACTGTCCCATTCACAAGACCATTCCTCTTAAAGACATAGTATAGTGGTAGAAGCCAGCATTGCCTCAGGTTTACAAAGAATGCACTTTTAACACAAACTGTTAGTTCAATTCCAAAGATATTTCAAGCATAGCTGTCACTTGTGTAAGCTTGACTTCAGCATTTTTCCTTTGTTTTCATAATATATATCTTATAATTCTGTTTGGCCCACATATCAACCCCATTGCTCTCTTGTCGTCCCTCCCCATAACGTGCGTTTCATCTGTGTGAATGTTGTAAAGTACATTTTCCATACTTACCGAATTTACGTATTTGTTGTTGATTTTTTTAACTTTTGATTTGTAAATGAGTTATATTTAAGATTTGCAATTTTCATATGCATACATTTGCAAATTAAAAAAATTAAAACTTTCGACCATTGAATTATAGTTGTCATTGTTATCCTTTTAAAACTTTCCCCCAAAATCTATGTTAAAATCTCATAATGACACTTTGAACTTAAATTTTCAGTTTCTAGTTACTTTTTTCATATGCAAACAGGCATATTAGACAGACTGCAAAACTGACAGTCGAGAAGAAGAAGAAGAAGAAGAAGAAGAAGAAGAAGAAGAAGAAGAAGAAGAAGAAGAAGAAGAAGAAGAAGGAGGAGAAGGAAGAGGAGGAGGACAACGACGACGACGACGACGACGACGACGACGACGACGACGACGAGAATGAAGAAGAAGTGGAGGTGAAGATGGAGGGGAAAGAAATTGAGGTGGGATGTTTTGGATGTCAAATTTGTAAATATTCTGGAATTTTATGTTTTCGTAGGCCCTACTTATCTTGAAAAAGAAATTCAAAGGAACTTGGTAATTATCATACTCACGAACCAATAAATAGTGCTAGCTCTGTCGTGGTTGTCATTACTGTAAGATTGCAGTGTAGTTTCGTATTGTCAAAAATGTCTTTTAAAGAATAGTATCTGTCAGGATCTAGCATCACAGACCATGATAAAGTGTGTGGCATGTCATTACGCGAACCCTATCTCAAGGCATGCCCACGCTAACCCAACGCTCAGTCTTTTCAGAATGAAATGCAAATACCACGATGGGGATACTATCGTAAATCGTGGAAAATGAAAGCGTATTTTCTTTTCTCTTCTGCCATTCTGTCTTTGTTTGGATATCGACAGAAAAATGCTCACCATTATCAAGAAACGAACGGAGGAAGGATAGAAGTAACAGAACAATTTACCAAAATGCCATTGAGAGACGATTTCGAAGGACACATACGAAGAAAAACAAAAGAACGAACTGATGGATGGAAAGAGTACATACGACAGGAAGACGAAGAGAAAAGGGAAAATTTGGGTTAACAAGGATATTATTTGTTTTGCAGAAGTTTAACCCCTTTTTGCGGCTCAGATAAGAAGTTGTTTGAATAAATGAGGGAAGGAGGCGACAATGATACAGTAAATTAGTTTTCACACGTCTGTTTGAGCAAAACATGAAGGGTTTCATTTGAACCTTCAATGGGTTTATTTTCACAGCTGGTATGCCATCATGACCATAATCCCCCTCCCCTTCCCTACCCCCCTTTCCACGCTCTCCATTTTTATCAAGATTGAAATTTACGTTTAAACGAAAGCAAGACTTGGACACGCAAGACGAGTATTACTCCCTGACTACGCCTGTTTCAGTTGGAGTTAAAGTTACTAAATAAATGTGCGTTCACTGTCTGTTTATCGTAATATTACATCTTTTTGTAATAACACTTTACATAACGCGCAATTTTTGATAATGCTCCTTTGTCATGCTGGGTCGTGTACCCCATTCCTTTAATTTAAGGCTGATATTCATTAGCACATTCCCTAACAGATTGGCCTCTAGTCTAAACTTTAAAGATAGTAAAAACTGTAAATGTTTCACTCCCCGCGGACACCAATCTAGGTCATGACAATGTAGAAGTCGTTGAAAGATAGTCGTTCAAAAGACTGAATAACTCGGCCATGGCGATAATGACTTACTTTGTAACAACTTCCGTAGTGGGGATGTTTTTGTGCGTCTTTGTTGTTGATGTTGTTGTTGTTGTTGTTGCTGCTGTGTTTGGTTCATTTAGGGAGTGTTGTCGTTTTTTGTTGTTTGTTAGTTTTTCTTACGTATTTTGTCTAATAGTCACCAAGAATCTTAAGTGAATTTTTTTTACCTTTTTTTTAAAGTCCAGGTATTTTCTGGTCATTTGAATCGACGCCTGAAGTGTAGCGGTTGGCGTTTCGTTGTAGTACCCGGAAGACTTGAGTTCGATTCATGTGTGTGTGTGTGTGTGTGTGTGTGTGTGTGTGTGTGTGTGTGTTTGTTTTGTGTGTGTATGTGTGTGTGTGGGTGAGTTGGTGTGTGTGTGTGTGTGTGATTAAATCGAGGTACTCAGTCTGTTTGCATGGATGCTGTCTAACTCTCCTCAGTCTGGGTTGGCCCCTGTCTGATCTACATTGTGTCGAAAGGCGCGTAAAACATTTACAATTACGATTATATAAATCGTCCTTTGAGGTTGAAGATAGTTGTTACCCTGGACGTTCATTATCGGTAGAACGACCTTGCTTAGGATGGGCAAGGGAATATTGAAAATAAAAAAGAGAAAAGCAGGTAGGTTTTTATGAGCAGTTTTAAGCGCAAATGAAGCCGACGATCCGAG